TAGGGTCTGGAGTGAATGGGCATGCATCCTGATGTACAGTTAGAGTAACGAAACAGTGTATTTGCATATAGAGTGGGTTATGGAGGGTAAGCAATTTTTAACTAAGAGATGTGAATCAGAAGTCTGTGCTACCCTCAGCAGGCCCATAACAGAAAGCAAAGTCTAGTTTAACTGGTTACACAGAATGAACCCACCTGTGGGTTCAAGTAAAATTCCCTTGCTTTTATTTATTCAGGGCTAGAACGAAGTGACTTAAACCTTATAAGCAGGAGCCTAAGGTCCTTTTTCAAACTGGAGTGTGGAATAGGACACAAAAGCTAACACTGAAAGGGCCCAACCCCAAATGGAACAGTCAACTCCAGGGCAGAAGTCCCAAGTCAGGGAAACCTCCCTGTCCTCAGATGCCAAGGATTTCTTGGTTTGATTGTACATGCTCAGAGCAGAGGACTTGTTTCAGCCCAAGGAGGAAGTTTGGATGAAGCTTTGCTGTGTTATGATGCTTCCTACTAGGCTTAAGGTAATGAGGCAGTGCTTCCAGGCATGGGATTCATATTTTGGTTTAGGGCTCTTCCAAGTCAGGTACAACCAGGCTGGGTGGTGGCCTCAGCATTTAGAGGAGCCGACCTGCATCATAGCTGGCGGGAGAAAGAGGAGGGATGGAAGGAAGGCAGTGCCAGCTGACCAAGAGCACTGACCTAGTTAGTATGACTGGTCTTCCTACAGTGACCTTAATAGGTTAACTTCTTTTTTTGTTTTGAACTAAAGAAATATTAACATCTGTATTTCTACTAACATCTGTATTTCTGCCACCCAGAACTGACCATTAACATTTAGCCAGATTTCTTTTTAGACTTTTAAAAAAACAATTACAATTTTATAGTTTATTTTTCTCCATCCCCAGGTCTCTTCACCTCTTCCACACCCCATCAAAAACATTGACACCAACCAATATCACACACTTTTTATCCTTCTAGTTCATTTAAGTGTGTCCATAGCTATACCGAGCCCTGTAATATTGCTGTTCTCTAAAATGCCCTAAATAGTATACTGTACAAATATCATCACACTTGGTTTTTCATTCAGCACATTTAACATCTATCTAGTTGATATACAGATCTAATAAATTCATGTGAACTACTACACCAGCCCACTGCACAGCTAGATGCTTTATTTATGTATTCCCTTACTGGATGGCCATTTCCACCACCACCACCACCACCACCACCCCCTGCCCACCCCCATTATGCCAATTTTCCTCAGCTTTCAATACTGTAACTTTCCTAGTATATGTCTCATTGTGCAGGTGTGAGCTTCTATATACCTAGAAATAAGATTCCTGGGCCACAGGGTATGCTTATTTTCTACTTTACTAAATATTGCTGAATTGCTCTCCAAAGTGGTTATATCCATTTACAATAACCAGTATGTCAGCTCTTGCCTTACCACCCCTTCGCCAACATTTGATACCATCTGATGGGTAACTTTTGTGAGTCTGCTTTCTAAAATAATAACAAAAGAGGGATATTAGATATCAAGTCTTTACCTCCCTACATTTTACCTAGATCAAAACTCCAGGGCTTCTCCAAAATGTGCACGGTTTTGTCTCATACCAAACCGACTCAGCTGACTCACACCTGAGACAGGAGAGACACCTGCTGTCTAAAGTGAAAGAAATATTATCTCTCTGTAGGTTGATTAAAGATGTTTAGAAGGGATGGGGCTACTTTCAGAAAAATTTTTGGACTGTATCAGCTAACCTGCCTCATACTCAGAAATGCTATGACCAGCAACCTCCCTGCCTTATCACAGTGGGGTCCTGGCATCTCCCCACCACAGCCCCTGCCTGACTTCCAAACACAGCTTGCTGACATCAGGAAAGAGGCTTAAAGCGCCAGAGGAGCTTTGCCTGTGGTCAGAAGCGGGGGAGGTTAGTCTCAGAGGCCACCAGCGGTACTGCAGTCTCGCTCTCCTACGTGCAGACTGGCACGACCCACTGCAGGGGAGGAGCAGCACTGCTCAGTGGCCCCGCCCAGGCGGCACCACACCACCTACCGCCCCCTTTGGCTCACCTTTCCCCAAAAAGCTTCTTTGACAAAGTACTGAAGAAGCAGACTATTCATTTATTTAGTCTAAGGCTGCCTCTCAGAGAATGGATGGTGGCATTAAGAATGGTCTTCATTTAACTCTATCCCAATCTGTACCAGAATGTGATGCTTAAAGTGATGACTCAAGGTACTATAAGACCTTTTACCAAATAAATCACTTATACATCTCATAAGATTGCAAGAAAACTCTGCTCACATTCTGTGGTGTGCCAGTTAATTGGGATTTCATCTTGTGGATCCTCAAAATGATTCAGAAATAACAATAATGTCAAATGAGTCACTTTCCCCACCTTGATCTCAGCCTTAGCTCTGGGTCAGAATAACACCTCCTGGCATGTCTTCATAAAAGCTGAAGCAAAATAGATTAAAACTCATGTAGTATGAGTTTTTAATGCAAGAGTGGCATTTTTTCTACCTTCCCACTCACAATCATTTCCTCATTTCTTCCATTGCCTCATCATTAAGAAATAAACAGTTTTAAAAAATGAAATGGTTTTTCCTATGACTCCACATTGATGTCCCAACATTCAAGGCACAGAAATAACTCCCATAGGTGCTAGCTGTTTGGAGTCACAGCTACCAAATCTGCCAAATCACTGAGGGTACATTTCTTAAAGACCTACTAATGCTCTTGGTTAAACTGTAAATTCAACACTAAATTTACTTCTAATGCAGTGATTAAAATGAGAGCAGCTGTAGTAGACAGGAAGATTCTAATGTCCATATCTTCTGACTCAAATCCAGTAATTCAGAAATGAGTTCAAGGACATTCTTTCAGGCCTTATTCATATCTACTACAGCCCTTATCTCAAGAGGTGGCCACACCCACCACAGAAGGCTCTGGAATGCAGGTGCACAGACTGGGTATAGGTCTCTGCTGCACTGCACTTCTGCTCTTAGAGGGCAGTGCTGAGCCTGGGGACCTGGACCAACCACTTTTCACTTAGCTGAGATATTTTTAACTAGGGGAAATGCATGTTTCATTGTTTGACTCACTGAAAGGGGAGAGGGGACTTTTTAAACCTGCAAAGATCATAACATAGTTTCCCACTCACCCAACGAAGAGAATTCTCTCAAAAGCAGTTAAGTTGAAAGGTTGAGTCATCTTCCCCACAGAGCCTCCCCACCCCCACCCCCAAAGATGCTGATAGTAACATACCCAGCCCTTCTGAACAGCCCCACTGTATTCCCAGCAGCATCCTTGAATAACCAGAGGACAAATTATTTGCTAACAATGCTACAGAGTGGGAGTCCTGACCTAGGCCCTCCTATTACCCTAGGGAGTGGCCCCACCTCCAGTACAGCCAGGAGGGGGTTACTGCCATCCTTATCTCACACTTACCAGCTGGCTGAGCAAATCCTAGAATCTAGGCAAGTTGGGAGTAAAAGGTAAAGATTTCAGTCTTGGGGTTGCAAGTTTGTTTCTTTTCTTATAGCCAAACACTAAAGACTGAAATCCCCCACCCCCTTGCCTTTTTGTCAAGAGGTCCTTATTCTCAGGGGACCGAAAAACCCATTGCAAATGGAGAGTTTCAAAGTAACGCTATTAGCTACTTTGTAAACACTGTACCAGGATCCCTGAGGAGATATCTGGCATTTAGAGACTCCCAAGGATAACTATGAACTGTGTATGGGGATGGCATGAAGAGCCTTCGTGCCCAATTATGTATTAATTTGTTCAGTGACTAAAAGTATACATTTGGAGGCATTTCTGAGATCTCACCATAGATTAGACACTGCACTGACTATTCAACGTGGTGTGTGTGTGTGTGTGTGTGTGTGTGTGTGTGTGTGTGTCTAAAAACCAGTCTTTCCAACAATCAGGAGAAAAACCTTACTCCAGGTTCCTACAGGGAAAACTGAGGTCCTGAGGCCGAATTCCTTTCATTATTCTTATCAGTATGTTAATGAGTCAAACCTAATCTTAAAAGCCTGCTGACAACTTCCCAATGCCTCTATCCATCAGGCTCTCTGGTACTGGAGAGGATCAATATCCTGTTTTGAAGACATGCATTAGAAGTCTTTCCATGACCTTGCCTTTAAATAACCTTCAGACCATAAGGTGCTTTCCTACTTATTCAAACTCAGCGTGATGCCAGCTCGTGAGGCCTCCTGGCACCCGCCACCCGCTTCCCCGAGCAGGAAGGGCGTACCTCCCTCACCACACAACCAGTGTGAGTTCTCTAGTAAGAATGCGAACACTGTGGACTACGGCCGGTCTAGTCATCCCGGTCTCCATCCCTTTCCCCCAAACAACTCCTAGCAGTTTTTACTGAGTGAACGCGGTCCGTGGTGCCCAGCCCACACCTACTCCATCCCACCCCGCGCCCCACAATCGGGAGCATCTGTTAATTAAGCAACGGGAAGCAGAGGCGTGGCCTCCGCGCCGCCTGCGCTGCAGAT